GAGCGAGCGAGCGAGCGAGCGAGCGAGCGAGCGAGCGAGCAGCGAGCGAGCGAGCGAGGCGAGCGAGCGAGCCGAGCGAGCGAGCGAGCTAGGAGCGAGCGAGCGAGCGAGGAGCGAGCGAGGAGCTAGCGAGCGAGCGAGCGAGCGAGCGAGCGATCGGAGCGAGCGAGAGAGCGAGCGAGCGAGCGAGCGAGCGAGAGGGAGCGAGCGAGCGAGCGAGCGGAGCGATCGAGCGAGCGAGCGAGCGAGCGAGCGAGCGAGCGAGCGAGCGAGCGAGCGAGGAGCGAGCGAGCGAGCGAGCGAGCGAGCGAGCAGCGATCGAGCGAGCGAGAGCGAGGAGCGAGCGAGCGAGCTAGGAGCGAGCGAGCGAGCGAGAGAGCGAGCGAGCGAGCGAGCAGCGAGCGAGCGAGAGCGAGAGAGCGAGCGAGCGAGCGAGCGAGCGAGCTAGCGAGCGAGCGAGCGAGCGAGCGAGCGAGCAGCGAGCGAGCGAGCGAGCGAGCGAGCGAGCGAGCGAGCGAGCGAGCGAGCGATAGAGCGGGCGAGCGAGCGAGGCGAGCGAGCGAGCGAGCGAGCGAGCGAGCGAGCGAGAGCGAGCGAGCGAGCGAGCGAGAGAGAGCGGCGAGCGAGCGAGCGAGAGCGAGCGAGCGAGGAGCGAGCGAGCGAGCGAGCGAGCGAGCGAGCGAGCGAGCGAGCGAGCGAGCGAGCGAGCGAGCGAGCGAGCGAGCGAGCGAGCGAGAGCGAGCGAGCGAGCGAGGAGCGAGCGAGAGAGAGAGCGGCGAGCGAGCGAGCGAGCAGCGAGGAGCGAGCGAGCGAGCGAGCGAGCGAGCGAGCGAGCGAGCGAGCGAGCGAGCCGAGCGAGCGAGCAGCGGAGCAGCAGCGAGCGAGCGAGCGAGCGGCGCGAGCGAGCGAGCGAGCGATCGAGCGAGCGAGAGCGAGCGAGCGAGCGAGCGAGCGAGCGAGCGATCGAGAGCGATCTATCAGCGAGCGAGCGAGCTATCGAGCGAGATCTAGCGAGCTATCGATCTAGCGAGTATCGAGCTAGCTATCTATCTATCTAGCTATCTATCTATCTATCTATCTATCTATCGATCTATTCTATCTATCTATCTATCTAATTATATCTATCTATCTATCTATCTATCTATCTATCTATCTATCTATCCATCTATTCTACTATCATGATAATGTTGATAAAGTATAACTAATTGTACTATTTCTTTTTATCTCTTTAAATTTATGTTACAACAAAAAACAAGGGGCGAAAATAACAACTAGTGCTATTAACCCCTTCTTTCCGGTGCTCAAATAAGTTAACTAATAAATAATTTGCACATAAAAAGGGTTGTCCCATAACCTTATACCAAAAAAGATAACCAAAACAACCATTACACAAATTGAAGGCACATGTTGTTATTCTATTGTCTCGCTAATTAAATGTAAATTTGACTTTTTTTCCAAATGCAACTAACACCCCACAGGAAACTCCTTTATCAAACAAGTTGCATTACATATAATAAAAGTTTAAAAAAAAGAGCAAGGATACAAGGATAATGTCATAATGTTATTGCAATCATTATGCCAATGACAACAGATGTGAACACCTTTGGTGGTATTAGAAACAAACAAACAAAAAATTAAAAAAAATATATAAAAAAACACATTAATAAATGTTTTTGACAAATATGAAAGGACACATCTCTATCACTATTACAAAATTAATTACTAATCACTTGAAGGTCATATCCTGGGGAGTATTCAATGTTCTTTCATACTGTTAATGTATTTAGACGAAAAACAAAAACATGTGGAGTTTAGGCACACTTTTTCTCTAACTCATTAATGTCATTTAGGATTTTTGTGATCGACGCGTGTCGATCAGTGTCAACAAAAGAAATTTTTGTCGCAAAATTATTTCGTTTTTAATTTAAAGACATTAACCTTGATTTGGCATCAAACTATTTTGGGAGATCAAAGACAAACTAAAAACAGGAGGAGATTTTCTTTCACACACCATCAATTGAGTAAACATATTATGAACACAAGCTAGAAGATCTGTGTGTCAGTGTTTAAGAAGAAGAAGAAGAACTTGTAGAGGTCCGTTTGTGCAGAATGTGTGCGTGCTAACTAGCTAACGATCAGTAATGTTAATTTGGTGATTTTTTTTAAAAGGAGTTTTTAGAAAGTTTTTTAAATATTTTAAGGATTAGATTTAAAGACTAGGTGATAGACTAAGTAGTTAATAGACTAGACGATAGACTAGTTAATAGACTAGACGATAGACTAGTCAAAAGTTTAAACGATGGACTAGACGATAGACTAGTCAATAGACTAGACGATAGACTAGTCGTTTAGATTAGTCAATAGACTATACGATAGACTAGATTACATTACTAGTCAATAGACTAGACGATAGACTAGTCAATACACTAGACGATAGACTAGTCAATAGACTAGTCAATAGACTAGATGATAGACTAGTCAATAGACTAGACGAAAGACTAGTCAATAGACTAGATGAAAAACTAGTCAATAGACTAGACGATAGACTAGTCAATAGACTAGACGATTATACTAGTCAATAGACTGGACGATAGATTAGTCAAGAGACTAGACGATAGACTAGTCAATAGACTAGACGATATACTAGTCAATAGACTAGACGATAGACTAGTCAATAGACTAGACGATAGACTAGTCAATAGACAAGACGATACACTAGTCAGTAGACTAGACTATAGACTAGTCAATAGACTAGACGATAGACTAGTCAATAGACTAGACGATTTAGACTAGTCAATAGACCAGACGATAGACTAGTCAATAGACTAGACGCTAAACTAGTCAATAGACTAGACGATAAACTAGACGATAGACTAGACGATAGACTAGTCAATAGACTAGACGATAGACTAGTCAATAGACTAGACGATTAGCTAATCAATAGACTAGACGATAGACTAGTCAATAGACTAGCGATAGACTAGTTCAATTGACTAGACGATAGGACTAGTCAATTGACTAGACGATAGACTAGTCAATAGACTAGACATAGACTAGGACTAGTCCATTGACTGGACTATCGGCGTGTCATAGGCTAGACGTTAGACTAGCCTTGACAGTAGATTAGTCGATATACAACACTTTCCAACAACACTCTTGCATGATCTAGACTCTCCTCTCACTGGCCAATGAACTAGACTATAGACTAGTCTATAGACTAGACGATTAGACCAGTCAATAGACCAGACGATAGACTAGTCAATAGACCATACGATAGACTTGTCAATAGAATAGACGATAAACTACTCCATAGACTAGACGATGGACTAGTTAATAGACTAGATTATTGCCTAGTGCATAGACTAGACAATAAACTAATCAATATACTAGACGATAGACGTGTCAATAGACTAGACGATAGACTAGTCAATAGACTAGACAATAGACCTGTCAATAGACTAGACGAAAGACTAGTCAATAGACTAGACGAAAGACTAGTCAATAGACTAGACGAAAGACTAGTCAATAGACTAGACGATATACTAGTCTATAGACTAGACATAGACGGGTCCATAGACTGGACGATAGGCTAGTCCATAGGGTAGAAGTTAGAATAGCCTTGACAGTATATTAGTCGATATACAACGCTTTCTAAGAACTCTCTTCCATGATGTAAACTCTTTTCTCACGGAAACTTCGACTAGGAGTGTAGAATTAAAGATTGAACATTGAAGGGTGTCAATCTTCATATCAAGGATTCTGAAAAATCCTTGCAAAATGTCTTCACATTATAGCATTCACTAAAGTAACAATCTTTCAAGCGTTTTTTACAACATTCTTTACAGTTGTTAACACTAATTTTGTGCAAGATCCTTTTGCAAACGTAAACAAAACGAATGAGAGAACACACACAAGGGAGCATAAGTCAAACAACAAACTCTCCCGTTGCTTTTGACAATTTCTATTTTTTTTTTGTCAACATCAATGAAGGTCGAAAGATATTTTGTTAAAATCAATTGAATTGATTCTGTATGACAATATTTTAACAAAAATATTTACAAATTTAATGGGTCACAGGTTTTGATTTAAAATAAAAGGACTTATGGAGGTAAAACACGTGCCCAACTAACGTGGACGTGTACTAAGTAATTGGTTGCAGTTTGTAACATTGAGTTTTTGGAATACAGCTGCGGAACAGGTTTTGTGAGTTTATTATTTTATAAATTTTTGTGTTATTTTCAAGATTTTTAAAATTTAATAGTTTTCTTTTAAAAGTTTTAAAATTTGTTAAAACATTGGATTTAAATCATATGATCTTAGCTAAAGTCGAATGCTTTAAAAAGCGGATTAGCGTAGACATTTATGATTTTATGATGGGAGATTTTAATTGGATTTTGGGTTAAGCGGCGGCGTTTAAAAGCACCAGGTATATAAAGGGAAATTATAAACAAAATTTCCCTAAACACAAGCACTAACTAAATAGAGAGGTTTTCAAAAACCTTAAAATGAATTAATAATAAGTTTAAAGTAATTAATTTTTTGTTTGTTAAATTAAAATTTATTTTGATTAAAGTTAAATAAATTTTAAATTGTTTTTAAGTTTTTTTAAACAAATTTCTTATTAATGGTTTTAGTTATTAAGTGAAATAAAAAGTGGTTGTTTAATTTTTTTTGTAAATTTTGTTGTTTTTTTTTATTAATTTAAAATTAAAATTTTGATTAAAGTCTTAAAACTAAATATAAATTTGTATTTTGTTATTAAAATCTAATAATTAAACTATTTACATTATAATTATATATAAATACTAACAATTATAAATATAAAAAATTTGTTTTTTTTGTACAATTTTGAGTTTTTGTTTTGATTTTGAGATTTTTGTTTTTTGTTTTAGCACCACAATCACATTTTTAAAAAGTTTGGTTATTTTTTTTTTCCCCCAGCAACTGCAAGCAGTTGGCTTAAATTCTGTTTAGAACTAGACTAGACTATGACCTAGGGCTTAGGCTTCAGTCTTGTAGGGTTTGAATAGTTTGGGTTTGGATTCAGCGTTTAGAGAAGTTTGTGGTGGTGGTGACATGGAAGAGGCAGGACGTTTAACCGAATTGCTGGTGGTGGTGGTGAGGGTGGGCATTAGAAGTCCTGAATTGGCGGATGAGGAGGCGGCATTGAAGTGTAAATTTTCATGTTGGGCAGGTTGCAATAAAGGCAAAGTAATGGGTTGTTGTACACTGGTTCTTAAGGGACTCAAACTGCGATCAAATACTTTAGTATGATCCGAACCGGCGGGACTCAATGACAAGGTGGAGGAGTGAGGCGAGGAGGATGATTGCAAATCCAAGGGGGGAGTTTGAGTTTTATTGGCATAGTTCGCATGAGGCATGGCACCCAACATTGAGGGATAAGCAGCAGCGGCGGCAGCAGCAGCCATGGGATTAGCCGACATATGAGGAGGCATGGCATGAGCTAAATGATGAGCAGCTGGTTGAGGACGTTGGGGAATGTGATAAGGATTGTAGCGGTATTGTCCATAGGGATTGTGGCCATGTACTGGCATGGAGGGCATGGCGGTGGCTAACATGGGATTGGCAGCAGCAGCGGGATAAGGAGGATAAGGCATACCCACACTATTGGCAGCAGCTTGCAAAATGGAAGCAGCGAAAGCGGGATCTGAGTAAACAGCAGCATAAGGCCAGGCGACGGCAATACGTTGACGCTTATCCTTCATGCGACGGTTTTGGAACCAAACTTTAATGGTCGACTCAGGCAAACCCAATTGGGCAGCCAATTCACAGCGGCGTGGTCTGGAGACATAGTTTTCCTTGTAGAATTCCTTTTCCAAACGAGCCAATTGATCCCGGGTAAAAGCAGTACGATAACGGCGTACTGAGGGATCGGCGGGAATTTCACAAGAATTGTTACGGCTGCCATTTAAAGAGGTATCAGGACTGGATAAACATTCTAAAATTAAACCAAAAAAAAAGCAAGAAATTAATAAAATTGTTTTTTTTTATATAGAAAATTAAGTTTAAACTTAATTCTTTGGGTTTTTTGGAGTAGTTTTTTTTAAAAAAAAAAAAAACTCTTTTAGAAAACTTACCAGTAGGAGAGGGTGGTGGAGTTTGTGGTTTGCCATATTGGCCAGTCATTAAATCCACTACTAAGGGTTTTTGTTCATTATTATCATGATGGATATTGTGATGATTTTCCATGGTGTATGATCTGTATCCTTGCATATTGTAGGAGTTGTTGTTTTTAATTAAGTTTTAAATGAATTTTTTTTAAAAAACAATATTTTAGTTTTTTCTTTCACTTTATCACGTTCTTTTTTCTCTTTGTTATACAAAATAAGCGCAATAAATTCTTTTAGTAAATTATTAAATATTTTTCTTTTTTAGTTAATTTGTTAAATTAGTTGAAATGATGTGTTGCTTGTTGTGAAGCTACAGCTCAAGTGTGCCTTACTCAACTACCCCAGGATGCTTTTATACCACTACCCAGCGAAGTGAGAGGCTAAATAAGAAGTTAAAGGCGTGCTCTTTAACGGGAAATTACCACCAACAACAGTGTGTGTGTGTGTGTTTGTGTGTATGTTTGTACCTAAATCTATACAACCAATGAGCAACAACAATTATGCTTCTTTAGAGAGGTATACAAATGTCTAATAACTATATTATAATTCTCTTCTATTACAAAATTCTCTTGTTTTTTTTTCTTCAAATGTAAAGTGTAAATTTGAGAGAACTATGGGTGGTCATTTACATTTACTAGCTCTCTCTCTCTATATTTTACATAGTACTCCTGTCCTGTCATTATTGCCTATATTAGTCGTTGCTGTTGTTGTTTTTCTTATTATAGCTGCTGGCAGAACTGCTGTTTCTCAATTATTTTGTACTAAACGCAGATGATAATGTGGCAATGACAGCGATTACGATGTCAGAACAATGGTTATAAAAAACCTCATACTCTTACTACTTACTATACTATATGTAGTATGTTGTACATACATATTTTGTAAAAACATTTCCAGGAAAACACATTATGATTCGTTAAAAATTATAAAAAAAAAACTACAGATACATATTAAAAAGGACACTAGCAGTTACTAAAAACCAAAAAGTCTTTCTTGAATTATTAAAAAATTATAACTTAAATAATGTACAGCAAAAAACAATAGCCTATATAATTGAGCTATCAGGATCTTTAATATGCTTTAGATAATTTCATATTCATAGTCCTTAGCATAATACAAATACATACAATAACATTCAACTATATATATCTCTTGCTCTCATTCTTTCACATTGCCCCAACTTACATAAACGGTTAGTGGAGCAAGGATGCCACTTACTACAAATCGCTAACCCCCCAACTACATTAAAAATATCACCCAAAATGCTCTTAAATATTGATAAGTTTCTTCTATTAGTTAAGTGAGAATTTCTTTGATCTTGGATTAAAAATGATCAGTATGATCATACAGTAAATGTCTTATCACAAGATCAATATTCTTAATCTTAATTCTGTCGAAATGAATTTCTAATGCTCTGATCCATCACATACATATACAGTTAGTGGAGCAGGGATAACACTTACTACAAATCACCAACTCCCAAATACATTAGAAATATCACCCAAAATGCTCACAGATTTTGCATGATCTTGAATTATATATGATAAGCATGATCATACAGTAAATGACATAACAAAATCAATGGATCTTCATCCATAATAGTAGTAAAATAGTGTTTACAATTCGATAGTCCTGTTTTAATTCTGTCAAAATGAATTTCTTATGCTCACATACTCACTCTCCTCTCCGACACATATATAGTTAGTGGAGCAAGGATGCCACTTGCTGCAAATCGCTAACCCCCCAACTACATTAAAAATATCACCCGAAATGCTCTCAGATATTAATAAGTTTCTTCTATTAGTTAAATGAGTATATCTTTGATCTTGGATGAAGTATGATCAGTATGATCATACAGTAAATTGCTTAACAAGATCAATAATCTTGATCCATAACTTTGTATTAAATAAAGTTTACAATTCGATAGCCCTGTTTTAATTCTGTCAAAATGAATTCCTTATGCTTTCATTCTCACACTCCTCTCCAACATACATGTACAGTTAGCGGAGCAAGGATGCGACTTACAACAATTCGCGGAACCCCAAAACAAATTACAATTATCACCAAAAGTTCTCTTAAAAGTTGAAATGTTTCTTATTTTAGTTGAATGAAAATGTCTATGATCTTAGTTTAAGTATGATCAGCATGATCATACAGTAAATCACTTAACAAGATCAATAAACTTGTATTAAGTAGATCTTGAAATACAATAGCCCCCGTTTTAATTCTGTCATAATCCTTTTGCTAATTTTACTACTTTTATTTCATTTAATTACTATAGATTATCGGAAGATATCAGAAACAACAGACCCCCTTGAAGAAACTGGAAGTTTAACAGAATTAGTGCTGAACATTAGTTCTAAATTTAAAAGGAATGGATGGAAAAGTAAATTTGCTGATGAGCAGCATTCATGTTGGACAATTCGCAATAAAGGCTAAGTCATGTGCCACTCTGCCTCTGAAACTTTAAGTATGTACTCAAAACTGCAAAAAAAAAAATACTTAAGTACGATCGGAACCGGCGAGACTCGACGACAAAGTAGAGAAAGATTCATGTTGGGTAAGTATCTATAAAACCCAAATAGCTCACTCTGCACTGTTCTCCTAAAATACTCAAATTACGATCAAAAACTTTAGTATGATCAGAACTGGTAGAACTTCACGACCAAGTACAGGGGGGCGCATAAAGATGATCCTTTCCAAAATATTGATTGTTGTTGGTAAACATAGATGGTACATAATATAGAGAGATAAGCCGCAGCAGCCCTAGAATTGACGGATATGTAAGGTGTCATGTCATAAGCTAAATGATGGGTTGCGGCCTATGGAGATTGTAGGATGTAATAGATTTTGTAGCGCTACTAAGATTGCGTTCAATTGCAACTTACTGATCAGGAAGATGTTTGCTATAAACGCAAAGTAATGAGATGTTCTAGGACAAATCTTAAGAGATTGAAGTTGCGATCAAAACCCAATTTGTTTCAACCTTTTAAATCTGTTTTAAACTTTATCGATCAAAAAGCGATTGTCTATCTTGGTCTTTGGGGATCATTGAAAACCCCTATTGGTATGAGGAAGATTCAATGTAATGTATTGTTCTGCGATGAATCTTAGGAGACTGAAATAGCGATATTAAACCGAACTTTTAATCTTTCTATATCAAATTTGAACTTAATTGATCAAAAAGCGATTGTCTATCTTAGTCTTGGGGGATCATTGAAAACCCCTATTGATAATGAGGAAAATTTTGCAGGCGGCCATAAACACAAAGTAATGAGTTGTTCTACGATGAATCTTAAGATACTGGATTGGTGATCAAAACCAAAATTTTTCAATTTTTCTGAATCTGAATTTTATTAATCAAAAGCAATTGCCTTTTTTGGGTGGATTGCTTGAAAACCTTATTGATGATGAAGAATTTTCATTGTGGGCAGGTTGCACATGGTATATTTAGGGTTATCTACCGATTTGAATAAATAAAAACTTAAGAACAGAGTCTTTCTAATCTCAGAATGTTTTGCCTTTTAGATTCTAAGGATAGAAAATGTTTTTCTTCTAAATTTAACATCTATTTATTAAAAATCGATCGCTTTTCTTTCTGTTATCTACAGATTTCGTAGTGCCATAAAACCCGTATCTTGTTATTATTGGATAATGGTATAAAAGTTTTGTATTCTTTGCTAACTTCACTAGGAAAAGTTCATTAAATTGCTTTAATTTTTAATTCCTATAATTTTTGCATTTGCAGAGAGTGGGAATATGATCCTTACTTTTCTCATAACATCATCTGTAGTTATTAAAGGTATAACTTTCTCATGAATGTTTTGGGAATGTCATCATTACGTTTTTACAGTTCTTCTTGGTCCTAAATGTTATAAGAACAAATGTATGGAAACATATGTAAGTTTTCTTTCAAAACAAACTCTAAATATCAACGTTGTTATTCATGGATCGATTTTGATCTCAATGAACTCCTTTTTCTTCTTCCATATTTTGTTTTTAAAGCATTTTTCAGTTCTATTGAAGAAATGCGCTATCTTTTATTGCAAACTCTTTAAGAATCCATGGAGTAATGATCGTAACTCAAAAAATCTCAATGAAAGAACTATAAAGCGTCAAATGTGACCATTATGAATCTGAAAATCGGGACATTAAGCGAAATGGAAATGTACTTATGCTTTAAAAACGTGCCAGTTCCAAGCAAATTACGTTTTTATCAATAACAAATCAACTGATCTTCACTTAATACTCAAAGTTATCGCTGTCACGATCAATATGATCGAATAATCAGTTTTACGTCGAAATTAGATCAAAATATCTTGGTAATGATATTATCTCATATATAACATCCCTCATGGACATTCTTAGGACTTACGTTCAGGAAACTGAGTTTCTGAATATCGAACAATAATACTTTCATTGATCACTTTATAAGGTTTTCGTTCTAAGCAACATTTTTCATGAAAAAGATTGCAAAACCGATTTCTTCGGATTTGATGTAGTATACAGCATCCTATTAACCTATCTAACCATTCCTATAACTACAACATTCAGATCTTTACTCTGCCAAGAATCGATCTTAGTCAATTGGAAGTTTTCTCTCCGGGAAATAACATTTACTTGGGATTTTTACGATCCCTTTAGAATCCCCAACTATAGAGACAAATCCCTAAATCTGGCAAGACTGTGGGGGAGTAAACCAGATATTACAAAACTCTCTAAAGGAGAAGAAAACTAAACAAAAACAACAATAACAAAAACAACTGTGATAATTGTATATTTATCATCAAAGTATTAAAACATTAAGGGTGTGGTATTGATATAGTGGTATGAAATATATTATAGAATGGGGGCACTTTTCTCTCAATTCTCGCAATACATACTTACATATGTATGTATGTGTATATAAATTTATAACCAAATGCTTATTTAAACACTCTCAAACCAAACCAAAGCAGCCATTATTATACCTTTTAGTATGTTTTAGTATTTTTATTTAGTTCCTCCACCAAAAATTATCTTTTAAGTTTGAGTTTGTGCGTTTTATTTTAAATTAAATTATTATATGTATCTACTTTCTCTCTAACCCCGCCATTTGTATGCCTTCATTGTTTCCGCTCAATTCTATTTTA